GGGGGGAGAAATGAACCAAGCCTTGTATGCACATATGAATAATAAAAGAAAAATGAAAAAAAAAAAATCAGTTTCTTCATAATAGAGACAGTAATGCCTACTTCATAGGGTTGTTCATTTGATCTCAACACTGAAGTCCTGTCTCAGAACTTAGTGCATGCAAGTCACTAAAAAAAATACTTTTTCTCTGCACTCTCTCCTTGCTGCCCTCCTCTTTTTTCTATCATCATTTGTCACATCTAGCTTCTGTGGATCTCGGATTTCTCATCTGAATAAGGGTGATGTGGGTCCTTTAAGTAATCCTTCTGCTGAGTTTGGTGATACACACCTGTAATCCTAGCATTTTGGAGACTAAAGGAAGAGAGTTAGAAGTTTAAGGCCAGCCTGGGCTACATATGGAGACCCTATCTCAGAAAAAAAAAAAAACCACAATCCTCTTAAAATTTAGGGAAAGTAGTTACAACAAAGTGTAATGGAAAGATACACTGATGTGATTAGGTATATAATCCTAAAGTTCAAGAGAGAGGTAAAGACTGGTAATATGAATTTGAGTTATCAGCAAACTGATGTTAATTGAAACCCTGGTGATTTGTGTGAGAGCCCAGGAACATGGCAGACCATATGATAATTGAAATATAATGGGTATGATATTTTATGATTTCTTAGTTCTTATTCTTACGTAAGTACAACAAAAAATAAGTGATATTTAATAGTGATTAACATGAGTATCATGGTTCCTATGATATTTATTTATAATTCTGAAAATTCACAGGTTGCATACGGCCAAGTTCTTGGAGTTATAGGATATTCATTACTTCCTCTCATTGTAATAGCTCCTATACTTTTGGTGGTTGGATCATTTGAAGTGGTGTCTACACTTATAAAAGTAAGTTATGCAATATGAATTATTTACTTTACCTTCTTCCAGTAGCAAAAGTACACTAGTCCTCTGGATATAAATATTGTAGCATAAAACTGTTTATCATGCAGTTGGTAGTATTTTGAAATAAAGGCCTTCCTTACTGATTTCTAGTTCAACTTATTTTAATTTTTTCCCTTTAATCAGAAATTATAAAATAAGTTTGGGGGTGGGAATTGAAGAGCAAACCAGTTTTCAGGGTATAATCAGAATTTTTAAATATTTAATTTTTCTGTTTTTTTTTAATACGGATTCATCTGACCTAGATTTTGAGACATGTTTATTTTAAATTCCACTGGATGTTTATTTAATAACTTACTTTATTTAAATACTAGCTTCCTTATCAAATATGATAGACTTGATTCTAATAAATTCATTCATCTTAGAAATTATTAGACTTCTATAATGCATAGATCAGGACTTCTTTATGCTATGATAAGTCAAATTAACTTACATATTTTAAACATTTATTAGTGATACCAATATTAATAATAGTAATATAACCTTAAATATTTATGTTTATTAATGTTGAGTAACTTTGGGAAATAAATGACTGCTTTAGCACTCACACATACATTACACAGTGAATGTATTTTTTTTCTGTAGAAAAATAAAACTCTTTGAGATCATTACTTAGAACTGTTATGTAACCATCACACTAATTTGTTTTTAAGTTGTCAGGACAAATTAATGTTTATGAGACTTGATTTTATTTAAAGTTCATTGCTAATTCTGATATAAAATAAGGATTCCTTTTATAATTTGGTAACTATAAGATGATATAGAAACATTGGTTCCAAAATTTATCCCTTAATAATCAGTCAGTTCTGAATTCAAATTCTGATTCTGCCCCTTTTTTCATCTGTCCTTCAGGACAAGATGATTTTGAGATTATTGTGTTTGAACTGTTTAAACATTTCTGAGATTGAGAAAACCTTGTTTTCCTATACAGACTAGCCCTAAAATCTTTTTTTTAATTAGCATTATTAGAACTTAGTTTAAAAGTCTTACTGTGCAGCAGCTGGCCACATACTGGCTTTTAATTATTCTAGCCTTAGGGAAGATACTACTCTCCTGGTTATTTACGTTCACTTTCTGCTATGTGTTATCTTACCTGGGTTAAGTTTATTTGAGAATTTCTGAAAATATGCCTAAAATTACTTCTGGTCATTTTTAGTTATGTAGTTCAACTGAAAGTTGGTCCTTAACATTCTTTATGGAATGTATGCATGAAAAACTCTTTTTGTATCATTAAAATTTTAGGGTAAAATTGAGTTTTTAAAAACTTTTTTATTTTATGGTGCTGGGAAATCAAACTCAGAACATTTTACATGCAAGGCAAGCTATATTCCCAGCCCTTAAATATTATCTTAAAGTTCAGATTTTTCTTGGTCAAAATTTTTTTTCTAATCATTTAATGTTCTGTGGGTAGTGAGCTATTGAACATGTATTGGCTCTTCTGTTTGTGTATGTATGTATGTGTGTGTGTTTTATTTGTTTGTTTTTTTGTGGTACTGGGATTTAACTCAGAGCTTCACCCTTGGTAGGCAGGCATTCTGCTGCTTGAGCCACGCCTCCAACCTTATGGTATTTGTTTTTAATTTTAGTCCAACACTTTTTAAGAAATATATTTTAGAAAATTCTCATCAGTTAACTTTAACATTACAATATTGATAACCTATAAGCACTAATTTTTTCACAGTAAATTTAATACATCAGTCTTTAACCATTTATACAAAAAAGACTAATCAAGATGTACAAATGCAGTTTGATCATAATTTTATTTCATATATCTCTTTAATACTATTTCGTATGCTTAAATTATTTGGAAGTGTTTTTCTTTTTGTTAAGTTTAAAAGCATGGTAGAAGGTTGGACCATCCCAAATACATTTTCATTCAGTCTGTCAATATCCTTTTTTTTTTTTTTT